GCATCACCTTACATTTTGGATAGTTAAACATCATCTACCACGTAATATATCAAATGATCTAAATTTCCCTGTAAGTCTACAGCATCTTTGATACAGTTAGCCACTCCAAAAATCTTAATGTCATCTGCAAACTTCAAAATTTTGTTAGTCATTCCAGAGTCAATATCAATAATATTAATCACAAACAGCAGAGAACTGAGAACTGAGCCTTGGTAGGTTATTGTTAATATTAACTATGAATATTACAACTTTGTTGGAGGCTATCTTATATTATACTAAGTTATATATTATGATTCTATACTCAGTCATAATATCCATCCCTTGACTAGTCTCTGTTCTAAACTCATGATCTTCGTTATTTATGACAGGCTACTTAAACATAGCATGTGATAATGCATCAATGTAACTGGTTAGTTGAAGACCATCCAAAATTTCACCTACCAATCCCAGAAACTGTGATTCTCTCAGAGCCAGGTACAGAATTACGAGGAATAGGAACAGAAATGTTTTTCTTGATTGGTGGAGTACCTGGATTTCTTAAGTCCACTAGAACTGCTTTATTGAAGTACTGTGTTGAACCTTCAGGCTGATATAAATAATGATAAATAAGTAACAGCTGATCTTTTATAAGCATTCTACAGAACTAATCCCATGTTGTAATGGTTTACATGGAATAAAAATCCTTATACTTCTTGCTTTTCTTGATATTAAATTAAGTGTAGTTAAATCATTTAAGTTTTAAATACTCTAATGGTCATTCCCAAATAAAATTTAAATGTAATATTTTTTGTTTAATCTGAATTCTTATTGGTTACCTCATAATGGTCTCTACAGTGTCTTTACAAACAATTTTAAGTTTTAAACATTAAGTCAACTTTTAAATCAGGAATAATTCTAAAAATATGTAGAAAAATGTCAGTTTGTATTACTAGAAACATTCTGCATAAGAACAGGGCACAAAGTATTTTCTAATGTAACTTTGTATTCGATCTGTTGAAGGTAAAGATAAGAAATCACTGTAATTGACAGTGGGATTATTAGAGAACTATTCTGTATTATATTTAAAATAAATTATTTTTAAAGTACAGTGACTAATAAGGTATTCATCCATGTATGATAAAGTGGACAAGTGTAACTAATTACTAATTGTACTAAAAAAAAAGGGTTTTCTGTGATTATTTAATGTGCAATGATGTGAAAATTTTTAAACTTAGGCAATCATGTCTAAATTAGTTATTTTTTCTTAATTTTGATTGACAATAAACTATTGCTTCTGTTTCTCTCATATCCTTTTCACATTTTTGATAGAATAGTAAATTGGAATAATTTTCTAACTTATCTCAATTATTTTTTAAGGTTTTTTCATGAATATAACCACCATCACCATTCTTTTTTTTCTTGAGTCTGAAGATTAAAGGTTTACTGATATATTTTTACCAATTAGCAATTTTGCATATAATACTGAAAGATTCACACAATCTTAACACAAACCTTAACCAATAACCTTTTCAGAACAGAATCTCCAGCAAATTGTGAAGTTGCAGACATTCGGATATCAATGTAACCAAGACGACGAGGAGTTATTATAAATGACACTGGGGTTCCATCTTGTTTAGGAATCTAGTAAAAAAAAATAGAAATAAAAAATGAGAAGTTATTAAACTTGGGTTGATTTTAAAGGGTGATAACCATTTTCATAATTAACTAGCTTGTCAATTTTATTGCTGTTTGCATGATATAAGAAAACTTTCATTAATAAACTCAAGTTATTTAAAAAATCTTTGTAAATGCAGGTTGGCTAAATTTTTTCAAAATTTTTTTTTCCTTGGGCTTTTACTGACTTTCCAGGCAAAATTTTAGATTTTCCAGACTTGCATCACATGCAGTTGATCTAAACTACCAAAGACAAATAGGCTATTATCATAAGATAAGATTAAGATACAGCAATAACTGGCAAAACAGTGCAGCACAGTTTGCATACATGTCAGCTCCAAGAGAATATAATGGGCTGGAGGGCTAAATTTGTCCTGACTTTTTCAAATTTGTAGCCACCCTGAAGTAACATCTGGTTTTCAAATCTTGCAAGAAAATGCCTACATAAAATTCTTGCCATTTAAGAAAACTTCTGATTTTTTCATGCAACCAAAACAAGGTTTTCACTTAGTTATCATATAATGCTGGTTCTATGAAAGAATTTATCTTTACCAATATCATGAAAATGTTAAAACTACAACACTTCTTTTACTATTATTGGAAGAGTCAGTTATTTGTCACTTCACTCCAAGTACATCTATTCTTGATATAACTTAAAATATCTTTCTCAATGTAGTTAGCTCAGTAACTTACATTCATAATCAAAACCACCAACAGCCTAATACACCAATTCTTAAATGCTTTTTTATTATTTTTTATTTAGCTAACAATGAAAGTAGCTAATGCAAAATAGAGACCTATCATTTCATATTTGAAGCTAACTGGAAAAAGAGAGCTACAAGTATTGCTTAACAAAGCTAAGTGGACAAGAGAACTACCCTACCATTAGTGCTAAAAAGAAAAGCTTAATCATTCAAATACATCAAGTTTGATCATTTTGACAGTAACTGGTTGTTTGTTGACTTTCATGCAAAGTTACTGAAGAGCTATCTGTGCTAGTCATCCCAAATTTAGAAGTGATATACTAGAAGGAAAGCAGCCAGTCAACACCACAAACTCTTGGGCTACTCCTTATCAATGAAAAGTGGAAGGACTGTCATATTATCACACTCCCATGACTGGAAGGGTGAGCAGGTTCAGTGACAACATTCAAACTTGCAAAATGGAGATTATGAGTCGAGCATCCTAACCACTAGACTATGACAGGCTCTGTTTGGTAGTAAGAAATTTTAAGAAAAATACTGTTTTTGAGGCAAAAGGAATTTTGGAAAGAATATTTAATTCGAACAAAGTATTAATTATGAAGTTTTTTTGTTTTTTCTTAATCATAAATAGTGCCAAAGTGTATTTAAAATCACACTAACTGAAATAGTTTACTGGTACAATACAGTGTTTAACTATAACTTATCAAATAAATTATCAAAACTACAGGACTTGGGATATTAAACTCACTCTGACTCATCTGGGTAGAAAGCAAAATTATATATACACCTGGAAAAAAGTTAAGCACCCCCAAATATTTTCCAGGATTGCTTATTGAAAATAAGGTTTAATTT